GTATAGTTTGGAGGAAAGACGAGACAGGGGGGATATGATAGAAACATTTAAATATATAAAGGGAATCAACACAGTAAAGGAGGAGACTATATTTAAAAGAAGAAAAACTACCATAACAAGAGGACATAGTCTTAAATTAGAGGGACAAAGGTTTAAAAATAATATCAGGAAGTATTACTTTACTGAGAGGGTAGTGGATGCATGGAATAGCCTTCCAGCTGAAGTGGTAGATGTTAACACAGTAAAGGAGTTTAAGCATGCGTGGGATAGGCATAAGGCTATCCTAACCATAAGATAAGACTAGGGAGTAATGAAAGTATTTAGAAAATTGGGCAGACTAGATGGGCCGAATGGTTCTTATCTGCCGTCATATTCTATGTTTCTATGTTTCTCTGGCCCTCTGTTCTTGTGGGGCATCATTAATGCCTACTGCCACTAGGAAGGTGGTGGCTTCCGCCACGTAGGTCGCCTTCATCTCTTTGCCATCTTTGCAAACCTTAAGGGACCTGGGCAAGCCCCGCCCCTCCAATTTCTTTATATCTTCTTTGACATGCATTTTTCTGGATTTTTTTGTTTTGTTATTCTGTCTTTCACTGTTAAAATACACCTACCATTAAAAATATAGACTGATCATTTCTTTGTTGTTGATGCAGAATAAAATCTGATTTCCATTATGGAGTTACTAAGGAATTTGTTTTCCCTTTTAGTGGAATAATTGGAAATGGCTACAATTTGGGTTCTTTTGCCTTCTTTTGGATCAACAGCATAAAAGGATGAGCTTCACGGTTAAACTAGACAGACTTTAGTCTTTTTTTTAACCCAGGCAACTATGCAACTATGTAATTTGGAAAGCTTAGCCAAAAATATTAATATCTCTGTATGTGCCTACAGAGGGATTTGGATCACATTCTTTAGATAGTGTTAAAAAAAAATCTGCAGCCATGAATATGCTGAGAGCCCCTATGAGCTGTACACTAACTTGTACATTAATGCTGTACATTTTGATTAATCAGTTTTAAAAATGCCCAGGGAAGGTCTCGCAACTTTTGGCCTTGGAGTGCAAGAAAAAAATAATTGGTATTTTTATTAGCATGAAACTCACATATCTCAGTGAAGCATTATATATAAAGAGATTTTACCATTGGATGTTGCTGCATGTCCAAGCTGTATCTTATATATCCCTGAAATATCCCTGAAAATTCCATCAGTATAACCTGCACAGTATGAAATAATAGTCACAGAGATCTGTGAGTGTCTATAAGATGCAGACCCTGTTTACAACACCTCCAGGGATATCTCATTGTAATTTGGCAGTGTGGTTGGCTTCAGATACCAGAGTCCACTAGGGTGTATCCCAGTTAGCCAGTCCATACATAGAAACATAGAATGTGACGGCAGACAAGAACCATTTAGCCCATATAGTCTGCCCAATTTTCTAAATACTTTCATTGGTCCCTGGACTTATCTTATAGTTAGGATAGCCTTATGCCTATCAAACGCATGCTTAAACTCCTTTACTGTGTGTGACAAAGTCTATGGGAGGGTAATAGAAGGAAGGTATTTAGGACCCAGACTCCTCCATAGCCTGTACTCATTCACCTTCCCAATTAGCAACTGCTGAGGCTTTAATTAGCAGGTCTCCGAGCAAAAAGGGGGAGATACAATCTGACCTGCAGAGAGAGCAGGTCTGTGCTGAGCAGCACCAAACAAAGTGCTAAAGGTTGGTGAAACCAATGTTTATTTTGTTGAATTGTGTAGTTTATTACCCTGGTTTAGAAAGGGACAGTACTTTATGTTTAGTTAGTGCTCGAATTTGAGCTAGGATTTTGTTTGTAGACTTTCCTTTCTGTTTTGAACAAACGGATTGCTGCATGGATTTTTGTGCACGATGTAATTAAACCACACCATTTTTGCATAAGAGACTGTTGTTCTGTACCTGTTACCCTAGAGGACTGTTTTGCTTTGCCCTTAAAGATCACAAAATGGTGGAGAATGCAGGCATTTAAAGCACATTCATACAGTCTGTGGGTATAGAGGCCTAAGGTACTGTGACTCTGCAAACTGAGACTGGTTCTTTGAAACAGAGGCCTGCAGGTGTGGCGTGTGGTATTTACCAGGTGGCTGAAGGAAAAAAAAAAGAAGGCAAGATGGAAGAGTTAGTAAAAGCCTTGGTACAGGCTACTAGTATGCAGCAAGACACAAACCGTGTAACAGTGGCTCAGATCAGTAGCCTCATGGAGTCACAGCGACAGGCTGTTGCGGCCCAACAGGAGACAAACCGCTTATTGGCCATACAAATAGACCGCATTATGGAAACACAGCGGGAAGGCAGAGTAAAGCTAACAAGTGCTTTGCAACAAACCATACTGTCAAGTGTGACTACCCCTACTATGGATAGAGGGCGCTGGATTAGAGTTACTGACTTTTTATATAAAGTGAGTGAGGTTGATGACATGGAGGCTTACCTGACAACCTTAGAAAGGATTGCTACCCGAGAAGGATGGCCTCCAGGTCAGTGGGCAGGATTATTAGCCCCTTGCCTCAGTGGAGAATGCCAAAAAGCAAATGATGATTTGCCTCTCAGCCAAGCCTATGACAAGACTATGACAGATTGAAAGCAGAAATCCTAACACAGCTTGGAGTTACACCTGCAGTCTGAGCCCAAAGATATAATGCATGGGTTTATGACACAGAGAAATCTACTAGGTCGCAAATGTATGACCTCTTGAGACTTGCCCAGAAGTGGCTACAGCCAGAATTCAACTCTGCTGCAGTAATCATTGAAAAGGTGGTTATGGATCGCTTTCTAAAGAGTCTGCCGATAGCGCTACGGAAATGGGTCAGTCAAACGGATCCAAAGGACCCAGAAGAAATTATGAACTTGACAGAGAGATACCGGTTTGCTCACAAAACTCAGAGTAAAGAGCCTTACCTCAACGCCAAATTGCAAAGTAACAGGAAACCTGCAAAGAATTCTGGAGGATTTAAAGAAACAAATGAAAAAAAAGATTCTGTACAGACCCATAGACAGACTGACTACATAGAAAATTGGGTCCCCAAGTTCCCAACCCGGCCACAAGGCCAGACTGAGAGACAGATAAAGTGTTATAGGTGTCAGGAGATTGGACATATTGCACGTAACTGTCCACAGACTGATGAACCTATGGAATGTAATTTGGGAAGGGGGGAGAAACATGGTGCATTGTTGGTATACACACAAATGTCTGCTTTAACAAGTGCTGGTGGTATTAACCATGTCAAATCTGTAAATATGGAGGGAGGAGTGTGCAAGCACTCTTAGATTCTGGGAGTGAGGTTTCATTGGTAAAGCGATCTTTACTTCAGAGTGAGCAAGTAGATAAAATTCATGTGTTGGATATAATATGCATACATGGTGACACCCACACGTACCCCATGGCCGAGATGGAATTTGCTACCGCGGTAGGGGTGATAAAACATAGAGTTGAGGTGGTACCATCATTGCCTTATGATGCTGTATTGGGGCGTGATTTTCCCCTCTTTCGTAAAATTTAGGAAGATACTGCAATAAAACAGGATAAGTGTACAGAGGTAGAGGCAGAAATAATGGGTTTAGAGACTGTTTTCCCTTTTTCTACGATTGATTTTGGAGCAGTATAGTGAAACCCACTGTAGTATGTTTGGGTGAGGAAGGGGAACACAATGAAAGTGATTCCTCCCAAGTAGAAAATCTAAGGGAAGAGGTGGAGTTTCATCATCTAGGTATTAGTTCAGGAAATTTTCGGGCTCCACAATGGGAGGATCAAACCTTGGTAGCTGCCCGTAACAATGTTCAGGTAGTGGAAGGTACTCCTGTTAACCCGGAAACCCAATTGTCCCTATTTTGCAGAAAGAAATAATTTACTTTACCGAGTAGAGAGGAGGGGTTGAGCAATTACTGGTACCTCAATCCCACAGGAACTTAGTCTTAAAACTAGCTCACAGCCATGTATTAGGGGGGCATCTTGGGATTGAAAAAACCAGGGAGAGAGTACTAAAAGGATTTTACTGGCCAGGAATCTACTCTGCTATAGAGTGATTTTGCAAGTCATGCCCAGAATGTGTTAATCTCTACCACTTCAACTGGAAGGCTATTCCATGCATCCACTACCCTCTCAGTAAAGTAATACTACTTGATATTATTTTTAAACCTTTGCCCCTCTAATTTAAGACTGTACTTTTGTTGTGGTAGTTTTTCTTCTTTTAAATATAGTCACCTCCTTTACGGTGTTGATTCCCTTTATGTATTTAAATGTTTCTATCATATCCCAGCTGTCTTGTCTTTCCTCCAAGCTATACATGATAAGTTTCTTTAACATTTCCTTGTAAGTTTTTTATCCTGCAATCCATGAACCAGTTTAGTAGCCCTTCTCTGAACTCTCTCTAAAGTATCAACATCCTTCTGGAGATACGGTCTCCAGTACTGCGTACAATACTCCAAGTGAGGTCTCACCAGTGTTCTGTACAATGGCATGAGCACTTCCCTCTTTCTACTGCTAATACTTCATACATGCAACTGTAACCCCAGTTCTAAAGAAGCCAAACTTGACCCTAACTCCCCATCCAACTACAGTCCTATCCTTGAAAGAGTTGTGTATGCGAGATTGACAGACTTCCTCGAGTCCAACTCTCTGCTAGGCCTGCTTCAGTCTTGTTTCCGCGCTAAGCTCTCTGTGGAAACGGCACTGACCAAAGTATCCAATGATCTACTCGCTGCAAAATCTTGTGATCACTACTCTATCCTAATTCTCCTTGACCTGTCTGCGGCTTTTGACACTGTTGATCATCAACAACTTCTTCTCGTCCTCCGCAATATTGGTCTACAAGATATTGCTCTCTCTGGTGCTCCTCCTACCTCTCCCAGTGCTCTTTCAGCTCCACACCTCTTATGATAGAATCTGACAACAACAACTGCTTTCTAATCGGCCTTACCATAGTCTGCAAGCCTGTTTCCATAATACCACTACACTCAGAACCTGAGAATGTCTCCACAGCATCAATACACTTGGTGCCTGAGCCTGTCTCCACAACTGTGGTGGAGACAGGCTCAGGCACCAAGTGTAGTGATGCTGTGGAGACATTCTCAGGTTCTGAGTGTAGTGGTATTATGGAAACAGGCTTACATAACACATCATTTGCTTTTTGCATGTTGTGGAGACAGGCTCAGGCACCAAGTGTAGTGATGCTGTGGAGACATTCTCAGGTTCTGAGTGTAGTGGTATTATGGAAACAGGCTTGCATAACACATCATTTGCTTTTTGGGATTCTCCACAGTGCCTGAGCCTGTCTCCACAACACCACTGATGGGCCTAATTATTGACCTAAAACACTGCCAAGCATCATGTATCTGATGGAGATGGTGCTGGAGAGAAAGAAAACAGCAGCCATAAGAAAACACATACCCTATGCTAATCTCTCTCTAATTTATGTTTTCATCTTTCAAGTAAATCCACAACCCCTAACAGCAGTGTCCAGTGAAACAGGAAGTCAATAGGGGCGGTAAAAGGGTGTGCCACTGATGCAAATCACGTAACCTGCCAAAAGGGGCGAACATGCAGAAAAAGGGGGCATGTCTGCCAAAAGAATTGGAAGGCCAGCCTGGCATGAATGCATGTTAGGCTGCCTGCCAATCATGCAGGCTGGCCAACTAAGGCATACTGTGCAGACAGCAATACTTAAGCTTCGCATAAATGCGTCTAATGATGTGCTCGCTCAACGCTTTCTAAGGACGGTTCCCTAGCACTCGCTGGTCCACTTGTCTCCTTACCTTCTTACTAGCAGGCAGAAGCTCCTGATATATAGTCTGGGACAGTGAAACGCAGTATACAGTGAGTGTAGAAGAAAGGGACCATGCCACAGTGTTAGAGAGACCAAAGTTAGCAGTACCTTAACTAATCTCATTGTCAGCCAGACCACTCGTTTTGCTCCCATATATCCCTCTTAAGTTTCCATATTTAAGCAAGAGTATGTGAAAAATAGTTAGGGTTGCCACCGTTCTTGGAAACACATGTATGGGTGACATCTCACGATGTAAATCACAGAGTGACATAAGAGAGAATGCTGTAAAATCACCCAAAAACTATCTGATTTGATTCTGCTGTATAGATGGATTGATCCCAGTGTCTCAAGTCTCCCAGTTTCTCAGTGTCCCCTTGTCTCCCAGTGCACCAATGTCTCCCAGTGCCCTCATGACTCAGTGTCTCCATGTGTTGATTATCCAAGGTCTCAGTGCCCCATGTCTCCCAGTGTCCCCTAGTCTCCCAGTGACCCTATGTATCACAGTGTCTCAATACCCCATAGGGACATGGGGAGACCTGGGGACACTGAGACACTGGGAGACTAGGGGACACTGGGAAAATTGGAGACATGAGGACACTGAGACACATACACTAGAGACCAGGGAGGACATGGGGACATTGAGCCATGGGGGCACTGGGAGACATGGGGAAACTTAGACACCAGGGACACAGACACTAGGGACACTGACTGGGAGACATGGGGACACTGTGTCCCCATGTGTCTCTGTGTCCCCAAGTGTCTGTGTCATAATGTCTCCCAATGTCCCTTAGTGTCCCCATATCTCCATGTGTCTGTGTCATAATGTCTCCCAATATGCCCATGTCTCCTTTCAGCCTTCCCTGAGCTGTAGGCTGTTTCTGCAGGGTGGGAGTTGCTGTCTGGACTTTTTGTAGCTGCTCCCCTACGGATCAGTGAGTAGAGATAGGCAGGGAGGGATATGCTGGAACTTCCTATCCCTGCCTCTCTCTACACACTACTGGCCAGTGCTGGTATTGCATCGTCATCTCTGTTTATGCTGAGAAAAATACCAGCATTTGTATTACCAATATGACTGCAATATCAACACTGGCAAGGAAGCCTCAAATACTGGCTGTGCGAGTAAAATACCAGCCAGGTAGAAACCCTAAGAGTAGTGTGTAAAAAATAAATAAAATAAAAAATCTTTTTTTTAAATCAATGGGCCTATTTCATGGGTGTAGGCCTGGAGCTGCAGCTCCATCAGCCCTATGTTAATCCAGTCCTGACCCTCAGTGCCTGAGCCTGTCTCCACAACACCACTACACTCAGTGCCTGAGCCTGTCTCCACAACACCACTACACTCAGTGCCTGAGCCAGTCTCCACAACACCACTACCCTCAGTGCCTGAGCCTGTCTCCATAACACCACTACACTCAGTTTCTGAGCCTGTCTCCATAACACCACTACACTCAGTGCCTGAACCTGTCTCCACAACACCACTACAATTGGTGCCTGAGCCTGTCTCCATAACACCATTACACTCTGAAAGTGCTGAAAATGAATTATATAGAGCAACAGACTGTGCAATATGCCTTTTATCCACAACTCTAAGTCTACCAGATCCTACAGTAATCCATTTGCCATTCCTAGTACGCCTCTGCGGCAGTGGCTTTGCAACAGTTTGTTTACCAGATCATTTACAAATCTTAGACTTCAAAAATACAATCTCCTGCCGCAATATAGAGAACTGTCTACAGATTAGACAGTATCCAAATCTCCAAAAAGTGGAACGTGAAACAAATGCATAACAACTATTATGATGGGCATTGACAGCACAGATACCAGACACCAGACACACAAATTAACACTGTGCTGAACTAGCAAAGGCCCTGGCCAGTTCCTGCCTGCTGCCTGACTCATGTAGACCAATATGTATTGGGGTTCCTCCTATGCAAATTGACATATCAACACACATCCTGCTAGTTTCAGAATAGTGTTATGCTGCAGCAAAAAATCTCTCTGCAAGCCATTCTATGCTAGTGGCCAGGGAAAATAGCGTACCTGCTCCTACCAGGCCTCCCATGCACGAAAATTATACTTAGGCTTATTCACGGAGCTTGTCAGGATAAGTTAGGGCATGCACAATATAAACAATATACAACTGGTAACATGCCAACAACATACATCTATTTGAACAGAAAAAGGTTGTTAGTATAGCTTACTCTTCTGAAGTCTGGCACTAAAGGATTATGACTACGGTGATTTTTAAAAACTGTTGCAGTTATAAGCAATTATGCACAAATAGATAGAGACTGGGGCCGCCTTCCACCATAAGCTATAGAAAGTTGTTTTTCTATTTATTTGTCTATTAAGAAAGTACTATGGCTTGAAAAAATTAATTCCTGCATTTATTTGGACCAATGATCATTAAATAGCTATTCAGCATAAATCGTGTGAAGACAAAGTGAGTTGCTGTGCAAATTTAGTAATTCTTGCTAATTAGCCAGGTTGCAAAATATCTCTTGCAAAGTATCAACTATCAATGACAGTGAATTTATAACTGAGTCACTAACAGGTCTTCTTTGGACAATGAAGGGTGGAGATATAAGGGTGATAAACCTGTCAAACCTTAAATCAAGTATTTCTTAAAAGAGAAGTGGGAGGACAGTGCAACAATTAATGTCTGTTATTGTATGTTCTAGTTACTTGGTATATCCTTACACAAATTAAAAAGGAAGCCGTGAACTTTTCTGCATGACAACAGTTTTGAGCAACACAGGCCATCAATTCAGATCATGTCTGAATAGTTATATTTTAACTTACACTGATCAGTCACAACATTAAATCTACTAAGCTGCTGTTGATTTTGCATCCTACTTCACTGATAAAATTGACAACATCCAAAAAGAAATTGCATCTCTCGTTTCTCCCCTCAACTATCTGACCCTCTACCCAGCCTCCTCCTCTATGCTTACATTTCAGGCCGGTGCAAGGATTTTTGGGTACACAGGTGAAGATGCTTTTGGGGAGTGGGGGGGTGCCTCTTAACCCGCCTTTTGTTTCTTATCCCCTTTTTAAATGTCTTACCCCCTTTAGTGTATCTTATGCCCTATTTTTCCCCATTGTGTGTCTTACACACCCTTGTATATCTCTTACAACCCTCCTTTGTGTGTCTTACTCTTCAGCCCCTTTTGTGTGTCTCCTTCTCTCCCAGCCCCTTTGTGTCTTTTACTCTTTCCAACTCCTTTGTGTGTTTCTCTTTCAACACCATCTCGTCTATCTTCCCCCAGCCCCTCTGTATCTCTTTTTCTCTTCTCCAGCCGCCCTATCTCTTTCACCCCAGCCCCTTTGTATTTCCATCCCAAGGCCCTTCTGTGTGTCACTTCATCTCCAGCCCCTCTGTACATCTTTCTCACCCCCAAGGCCCATCTGTGTGTCTTTCTCCCCCCTCATGTCCCTCTGTGTGTCTTTTTCCCCACTGAAGCCCCCTTGTGTGCCACTCCCCCCTTCATGTCCCTTAGTGTTCCTCCATGTCCATTAGTGATCCTCTCCCCTCCCCTTTCTGTCCATTAGTGCTCTTCTTCCCTGTCTCTTAGTGTCCCTCTCTCCTCCCTTCCTGTCCCTTAGTGTTACTCTCCCCACCCTTCCCTGTCCCTTATTGTTCCTCTGCCCCCCTTACCTGTCTCTCAGTGCCCCCCGCATTCCCCCTAATCTTCCTCCCTCCCCCCAAGTGTTCATCTCCCTTCTCTTTTAGTGGTCCCTCCCCTGCCAGTGTTCCTTTTCTCTTCCCTCCTCTGTACCTAGTGTCCCCCTCCCCTGTCCCATAGTGTTCTTTCCCCCCTTCCTTGTCGCATAATGTTCTTTATCCCCCTCTCCCCATCCCATAGTGTTCTTTTCTACCCCCTATGCCATATTTGTACCCCGTCCCACCATTCCATAGTGACTGGCACTACACACGCTGTGCGCCCACCTCCTGATGGTCACATCAATCTAGTGCCTCCCCGGGCCGGTGCACTCTAAGGTGGCCACTTGTGCCACCTTATGGACATGCTGTACCTGCCACAACATTAAAACCACTGACAGGTGAAGTCAAAGGTGGGATACATTAAGCAGCAAATGAAGTTAGTTCATCTTTAATTTCATGTGTTGGAAATCGGAAAAATGGTCAAGCAAAAAGATCTGAGTGACTTTGACAAAGGCCAAACAGTGATAGCTAGATGAGTGGACCAGAGTCTCTCCAAAATGGCAATTCTTGTGAGGTGTCCCTGGTATGCAGTAGTTAGTAGCTACCAAAAGTTGTGCAATAAAGGACAACTGGTGAACC